TATATATATATATATATATATATATATATATACACACACACACACACACACACACACATACACACACAATGGAATATTACTCAGCCATAAAAAGAATGAAATTTTGCCATTTGCAACAACATGGATGGACCTTGAGGGTATTATGCTTAGTGATTTATCCATGTTTTTCAGTGCATATCTTTGAAACATTTTTATTGATTTTCTCAGTATTACATTATATGTACATAATTTATCAGTTTTCTGATGTCATTATTTTACCAGTTTGAGTAAACTATAGAAACTTTCCTCCCTTTTACATCCTTTTACACTCCCCTGTTTATAATATAAATGTCTTAAATAGTTCCTCTATATACATGGAGAACCACATGAGACAATGTAATAAATTTTGATCCAATCATCAAATATGATTCATACAACTCAAGAGGCAATGAAATTCTGTGGTATTTACCCATGTTTTTGTCTACTGGGACCTTCTTCCAAGGTTCCTTCTTTATCATTTCTTTTATGTTTTAAGATTTACTTTGGTTATTCTTATAGAGTAAATCTACTGATAAATCTCATGTTTCCTTTCATCTGAGGATGTCTTGATTATCCCTTTATTCCTGAAGGATATTATCACTGAACATAGGCTACTGGGTTGATGATTCTTTTCCTTCAGCTCTTGAAAAATGTTGTGCTACTTCCTGCTAGGGCCTCATCAGTTTTTGATGAGAAATCTGCTTACATTCTTTTTTTTTTCCTAAAGGTGGTGTTTCTCTTTGGCTGCTTCCTAGATCTTTTCTCTGCTTTTGCTTTCAGAAGGTTGACTATGATGTGTCTTGGTGTGAATTTCTTGGAATCTATCCTGATAGTGTTTGCTTAGCTTCTTGGATCTGGAGGTTTATGTTTTTGCTCAATTTGGGAAGCTTTTAGCCACTATTTCTTCAAGTATTTTTTATGACCCTGCCTTTTTTCTCTTCTCATTCTAAAATTCTGTTAACATGAATGTCAGATCTTTTGTTATAGTCCCTACAGGTCTGGAGGCTCTGGCTCGGCTCAATTCCTTTTTGTTTCTTTTTTCTTTTTTTCTTTTTGCATCTAATTTCCCTCTGTTCAGATTGGGTGATTTCTATTGTTTTATGTCTAAGTTGTCTGATTCAACCCTCTGTCTTCTCTGTTGAGCCCATCCATTGAGTTTTTAGAGGTTTTTGTTCGTTTTATTTATTTATTTATTTATTTATTTATTTATTTATTTATTGGCTATCATATTTTTTAGTTCTCCAACTCCCATTTGGCTCTTTGTGTTTTATATTTCTGTGTCAAGACTTTCTATTTATATGCTGAGATTTTTCTATTTTATCAATTGTTTCAAGTGTGTTGCAGTTGCTCTCTGAAGCAATTTTATGATAACTGCTTTAAAATCCTTGTCAGATAATTCTAACATCTGTGTCACCTCAATCCTAGCATCTGTTTTTCTTGTCATTGAAATTGATAATCTTGGTATGGCAAATTATTTTTTAAATTAAATTTGGACACTCTGGATCTCTCTTAATACTATTGTTTTTGCAGGCCTCTGACATGCTACTTTTGCTGGGAAGGGGGGCAGTATAAGTCCAGCTTCTCCAGTGGGTCTCTGATTGACATCCAGGTTGGAAAGAGGCTCCTTGTTACTGCTGGTTGAGTGTGGGAGATCAAGCCTCTCTCTAGGCCTCTGAGGATCCCATCCCAGCTAGTAGTGGTAGGAATGCCAGGTGTACCACTGGTGTGGGTTGAAGCCATGGCCCCGCATTTGGTCTCCACTGAGAGGAGTCACTTTCTTGTTCTGAACTGTTCATTCTCTTGGTATTGGGTAGGGACTTCTTTAAAGTCCAGTAAGAATAAGTCTAGGCTCTTCACTTGCAGGCATAAACTTCTTATTAGTTGCATTGTTACTATGACAGCTGACATTTTCCTGCACCATGGTATCTCACTCCCTGTCTCCTGATGCTTTTGCAGAGAAAAATTGCAATATACCCTCCCTCTCTATCTTTTCCCAGACCCACCATGGGATAGAGAGGGAAGACCACAGTCTCTGCATGCAAATTGACTAGATTCCTGTCAAAATCTGGCATTTTCAAACTCTTTGGCTCTGTATAAGTTATTTAAATTGTCTGAGTCTCCATTTTCCCAGTTGCAAAGGAGTAGAAAGTTCTCAGGACTCTTGCTAAATGAGCGACAGTAGCTCAAAGAGCTTGGCAAACCAGGGGCTCAATAAATAGTAGTTCCCTTCCTTTTACTCTCCAATATTAGAGATAAACCCCTACAAAGGACAAAAAAATAAAACAAGGTTCTTCCCCACTCCGCATCTCAAGTGTGAGTCTCACCCAAAGCATTCACTCTAAGGGTTAAATCTCTTGGTCAAAGTCTTATTTCTTAAAGGGATACACTTGATATCCCCCTCTTTTTTCTTCAGATTTCCTGGAAAATAGTAAAGGTAGACAGCTTGACCCAGAGCGCCCTCAGGAGAAGTGTGGAAGCTGGGACGAGGTGGGTAGAGGGAACGGGACTGGTGCAGGGAGTGGGGGCGGCAGAGGGTTTGGCAGAGGATGGCAGGTGAAAGAAGGCCTGGGGTCAGTTGAGTGGCAGTCCACTCAACCAGCGCTATTGTATTCTGAGCAAGGACAATATCATTGCCTTGCCAAAGCCACTCCTGGAGACAAGGGGTAGGGAACACAGGCAATAACCACTTTACCAGCCCTCCCATGAACCCATCACCTCTGGGGACTAAGAGCAACTGCTGCAATCTCACCAGAGGCGCGGAGACTGCCTCCCCAGTCTCCATCGCTCCTATACCCCTTCGGAGCACCGAGTAGGAGAGGAAGAAAGTGGTGATTGAAAGCTAAAAAAAAAAATACACACGAGCCAGTGCTCTCTGTCCTCCCAGTCCCAGCCTGGCGGGATTCCTCCGCATCCCCAGCAGGCAGTCACTGGCAGCCAGCCGCCACCAGCACGGATGCGCTAGACTGCGCTCAAAGGGCTCGCCTGAGCTCGAGGTCCTGAAGTTGAACAAGAGACTGAAAAAGAATTAGTCTCCTGAAAACCAAAGAGCCAAATACACCTTGGAGCGAACAAACACTTTAAAAAAATAATAGGTCCAAGAATGCCATCCCCCAACTTCCACCCAAGAAGAATAAAGCTGTCTTGGGACCAACACCCTTGCCTCCAAACACACATACTGTGTCTCCAGCTGCCTTTCTCAGACACATCTAGCAAGAGAGCTCTCTCACTCAGTCTCTCTGTTTCTCTGCCTCTCTCTCTCTGCTTGTCTCTATTCCGACTTTCCCCTAGCCTTCTTCCCAACCTTGGATTCAGCGATGAATGGGCTCCTTTCCCGTCTCCCTCCGCAAGTAGCTCAACAATAGATACTTTGCATAGGTACCTCAGCCCTCTCCCACAGTGAGGGATTTGGGGGGCTTCGGAGGGGGTCTGGGGGGGGTGCTGCAACGTTCCACTTACCTGATCTCTTTAATGCTTTCCAATTTGCACATGATTTCTTGCTCATCTGCCATGCTTTTCACTCTCAATTTCACGTCCTGTGAAATGTACAAACACACAAGCCCAGAGATACAATAGACACAATGTAGCCACCTCCTCCGGGCATGGGGATCTGAGCCTGTGCGGTAGGAATTTGGAGAAGGCCTGGGAGCTGTAGTCCGCAGCTCCAGGAACAGCCAGGCAGCTCAGGGACCTGCAGGACTACAACTCCCAGAAGGCCAAGCACGACATGCCTGTTTCTCTTCCTGCATCTGCACTTTAAATCAATTTGTTACAGATAATTATGTCAAAGGTTGTGAGGAGTACAAGGGAATGGCGATATTCATTTGGCCGGTGCGCGGGAAAAAATGGGGAAGAAATACCCTAGAAGGTAACTGGAGAGATGAGAGACATACTCGCACCCCGCTGGGGCCCCTCGCTCCAACAAAAGCTTACCAGGATTTTCTAGTTAGTGGACAGTTTGGGGCTGGAGAGAAACCCTGAAGGTGAATTCGCTTTTGAGATGTTGCGCATTCTCGCAGCTGTTTGGGAATTGGTGGCTTTCGCATGCAGATAGAGATGGAGCGGTGGTGGGGGTGGAGAAGAGGCGGAAGGGAGGAGGGAGCAGCTGCTTAAGCTGAGGGATGGGGCGGTGGTGACGTCGTTCCTTCCAGCCCTCCAACCATTCCACAGTTATTGACCTCAAACTTTGCCAGTCTATAAAGGAGATGTACTAGGGGAAGCACTGAGTGAAGCAAAGATAAATAAAAGCAAGTCCTTGCCTTTGAGGAGCAGGAGAGAATGAAAGGTAACCCACTAATTACAGTGCATTGTGCTGTCATAATACAGGAATGAATAAGGTGTAACCTGAGCAGAGAAGACGTAGGGTAACTGAGAATTTTCCAGACCTTTGAGGAGGATTGACTTTCTAGAACAGGGCATAACACATATAAAAAGCAAAGGACAAGTGGGCTAAGATATCTGAAGCATAAGGATCATATATCGAGTGGGGAGGTGGGAAAGAGAAATGGGAAGATGTAGGTTGGAAACAGATTGTGAAAGACCTTTGATTTAAATCCAAACTAAAGAGTTAGATTTAATTGTATAGGCACACATTTATCCAGTACATTTATCAAGTGCTTACTGTGTGCCAAATAATGCCAAGTTACTTTACGTTTCAAAGCCAGGGAGTGATAAGGTTGGAGAGATGTCTTAGGGAGATGACTCTAGAAGCAAAGTGGAGAATGATTTGGAGGAGATGAGAACATGTAAGATCTAGTTGCTCAGAGAGCATGGACAGGCCCATAGAGCTGGGTTTTGGATAAAAGGAGGACTTTGACTCATTCCCAACTAAAAGTGAGCTGGATCTCTCTCTGATTGAGCTTGCTTGCCCTTTGCTTTTCTGAGCTTCAGTTTCCTCACCTGAAAAATGGACCTGTTTGACCCCACCTCAAAGACTTGTTTTGAGTATTCAATGAGATCATCCCCAGAGGGTATTAAAATACAGGGCTTGATATTTTGGGAAGCTGGAGAGAAGTTAGTAGGGCATGAGTCTCAGGACATCTGGATGTCCACAGTGATTTTACAAGTTTTCTAGGGAAGGAATTGAATCCTTTCTCATTATTGGATCCCAGACATCCCTTTCACACCTAGGAAGTTCTCTCTGGTGTCTAGCCTAACAGTTTCCTGATGGTTTGAAGAAACCTGTCTTATAGTGCCACTAACAGCCATTTGAAGACCACTGGTTGGTCACAAAGACTGTGGATCTGAGCTACTCTACCTTAGAGTTCAGTGCCAAAACTGGTTGCAGCTCTGCTCTATAAGAGGAGAGGGAAGGGAATGAATCCAGGTAAGTGCCTGGCATGTATAAACTACTGTGCTGAGAGCTGTATGTACAGTCCCTCATTTCATCCTCTCAACTACTGTGGAGAGGGTAAGTAGATTTATCCCTTTTTACAAGGAAGAAAAATTGACTCAGGAAGACTGACTTGGCCAAGGCCACAAAATTAGTTACAAAGCTAAAGCCTGGACTCAGGTTGGACAAAGGAATTTACAGATTAAGGAAGGGAATATTTCCGAAAAAAATACGAAGAACAGAAGTAAAATGAGGTCTTAAGTATATATATTTATGTCAAAAAATTGCTTTATGAGTTAACTTTGGTTTAAGGAGAAATGGAGGGAGTGTATGAGGGTGTGAGGGAAGTAATTTAGGAATGATCTTTGAGGTTTTAAAACTAATGTCTCTTCTTTCATCATCCACTTCCTCTTAGACTCTTTACCTCATGCTCTGTTCATGTGTCTGGTCAGGATCTAGATGTGGCTTTGTTCTGTTTAAATTAAATGTGTTAATAGCTTTACAGTCTGATTTTCAAAGTAATTTAGCAAATATCTTCTTTCAAGCCTCACCAAAGCCCTATTTCACAGATAAGGAAAGAGGCCAAGAGAAGCAAAGGACTTATCCAAGGTAACCCAGCCTGTCTGAAATAGATAGATACCAAACTTTGAACTCAGGGGCTCATGCTTTTCCCATAGCCCCACACTGCCTGTATCAAGCTGCTGCTGCCCCCGTGGAATCCAAATGTCTCTGTTACTTCAGCCAGACAGTATAGTGCAATATGGAGACCCTGCAGAAGGCCAAGTATGTTCCATGCTCCCAATCTAAGTACACTGAAGGACGATGACAGTTAATCTAGGAGAAGGGGCCTTGGGAGCACTTAGATCTTGGAAGAAGTTTTGTACTATTTGTAACAGTCAAGGTGTCCAATTAAGGAAAGGGTCCATAAGCCTCTAAGCCTCCATGGATTTATCTTGGCTTCTTGACCTCTTTAATAACAGGTGTCTCACCTGCTCCTTGCCAAGTTGTAAGAAACCAGGCTAGCAGTGACAGGAAGGAAAATGTTACAGATAAGAGAAGGGAATAGAAAGGAACCATCACCTTCTGTCTCTTCTCTTGAAGCAGTACTTAAAACAATACCTTCAAGCCAAGCTGGTAGCCTTATAGTAAGTATTCAATAACTCTCGATTGATCAGAAGCCTATAATAAATGAGAGAATATTTAGGAGTTGTACTAGCAGTGAGTTATAATGTGTTATTTTATCAGAAAAAAAACTGATTGATTTGAGGTTGTGGGAATGAAATATCTTGGTCCTATCAGAATCAACATTGTCCTTATTGCTAAGAAACAGATAAGGAGGCAGAGTATGTTGGGATGAATACCATTAAAGTGTAAAGTATTAGCAAAGGGGAAGCCAACCAGTCTCTTGTTGACCTGATACCTTCAAAGAATAGATTAAGATTTTAAGAGTGGAGGCCAGAATATTTGAATTCATATATCATTCCCTGTGCTTCAATAATAAACTGAACTAAGAGAGGAGGCAGAGATGCTACAGTAGCTTTCAATTTGACTTGCCTTTCAAAAAATGCTGCAAAATACTTATTGAATTTCTTAAGTCATATTTCTTAATCAGTATTTCTAAGAGAAAAATGAGCCAAATTTTTGGGGTCATTCAGCCAAGAAATATTTATTATGTACCTGTTGTGTCAGGCACTATGCTAGGCAGCAGAGATTCCACAGTAGATATGACAGACATAGGCCCTGCCCTCACCAAGCCTACAATTGGAGAGGCTTGTTATTACAAAGATTGCACACATAAGTATATAGCTATATCCAGCAATTAGAAATTGGAAGAAGTCTGGGTTCTGTGAGCATGCAAAACAAGAGAATGAACTTAGTCTTAGGAAATAGGAAAGGGAACAGTCAGGGAAAAGCTTTCTGAAGGAAGAGTCCTGAGGGGAAACTAGGAAGGAAAGAAGGAGAGGAGCAGGAGTCATCAAAGATTCATTCATGTAGTCAGCCATCAAATATTTCTTGGGCACTTACTACATGCCAGACACTCTTCTAAGTACTGGAGATATAGTGCTTTGCATGTATTGTCAATTTAATCCTTGTAATGACCTTATGAAGTATTACTATTATTATCTCCATGTTACAGAAGAGGAAGCTGAGGCATAGAGAAGTGAAGTAACTTTGTCCCAGAGTCACTCAGCTAATAAGGCAGAACTGGGATTTGAATTTAGACAGTCTGGCTCCAGAAGCCATGCTCTTAACCACTATGTTATATACTACTTCCCTAAGATTCCTGTCCTCATGAAGTTTACTTTCTTGTTGGAGGTGCCAGACAATAATCATGGAAAAGAAAAAACAAATAAATATGAGAATTTTAGGTGGAGATAAGACCAATAAACAAACTAAAAGAAGATGATGGAATAGAGTGGTGGCAGAAGGGGAAATGTTTTAGGTAGGATGGTCCGAGAAGGATTCTCTTCAGAGGTGACATTGAAGTAGAGACCTGAGAAGGACCCAGCCATGCAATGATCTGGAGAAAGTCTTCCAAGCAGAGGGAATAGCCAGTGCAATGAGCCTTCTTTCATAGGAGGCATGAAGCAGGAACATGCTTGTCCTATAAAAGAAAGTAGGCAGGGCTCTGTCTGATGGAGGAGAGCAATAATAGATTGAGGAAATAGGCAGAGACAAGCAGTATCTTGTAAATCAAGATGAGGGGTTTGGATTTTATTCTAATTACAATAGATAGCCACTGAGGGTTTTAAGTAGGGGAGTAACAGGATCTAGTTTTTAAAGGTCACTCAGACTGCTGTGAAAATAGATTGTACTGGAGCAATAATGGCAACAGGAAAATCAGCCAGGAGACTATTGCAGTTATTCAGGAAAAAGATGATGGTGGCTTGGATTGGAGTATAACAGTGAATATGAAGAAAAACAGGCTGACTGGAAACATATTATTGGATGCAGAACTGATATAATTAGCTCATAGATGGGATGAGGAGTTATAGAGGGAAAGATAGGGGCTCCTAAAATGACTTGTGGATTTTTGGCCTGGGCAATAGGGTAGTACCATTCACTGAGACAAGAAAGACTGGAAGAGAACATAGGATGTTAGAATTGGATGGACCCCACATGTGGCACATAGAAAAGCTGAAGAGTGAAAATTATCGTTGACCTGCCTGGGGACAACCAGTGAATGGGTAATTTCATTTTCACACTCCTCCAGAAACTTGCATGCCTTCCATCGCTTCAATTAATCTGGCCTAATAATTCATATAATTATGATATAGGAGTAATGGAAGCCTTCCCCAAGATTCCCCTTGTAGATGGG